CTATCCCTGATCTGCTGGCAGTCGATGCTAGGATACAGCAGCCACCTTTTGCCATAAATTCTCCCTTTTACTTCAGTTTAACAACACCCTGAGCAACCAGGATCTAACACCCTCAACGAAACCAAACATTGCAGTTATGTTTCTAATGTAAATCTTAAAACTGTTCCAGCCTCATTCCTCGCCTGGTAGCGCCGCCTTTGACCTACAACTCAAATCCTCCCTGAGTTGCGACATCTAACAGTGAGACACGACAGTTCTCCTTTTTGCTACAGCTCAACCATATCTGTACAACCAGCACCCAACACTATGCCACAAAGGTCACCCTTTTGATATTTTTAAAAAAAAATAATTTTTCCTATAACTTAAACTATTTATAAGCGATCGGCACCCAATAGTATGTTACAACAGCTGCCTTTTTGTGAATGTTTTTATTTTAACTACAACTCAAACCCTCCCTGAACTACCAAAACCTAACATTATGATAAGAAACCGACTCTTTTGGTTTGTGACTCTTCACATGTTCTCCTTTTTACTTACTACAGCCTAAACAATCCCTGAGCGGCCGGCATTCAATACTGTGACACAATGGCCGCCCTTTCGCCATAAATTATCCTTTTTACTTCAACTTAAACCCTCCCTAAGCAGCCGGCACCCAATAATATGTCACAACAGCCGCCGTTTTGCTATAGTTTCCTATTTTTACTACAACCAAAACCCTCCCTGAACTATCAACATCTAACACTATAACAAGATACCCACCATTCTGTCGTACATCCTCTTTTTGTTACTACAGCTTACACAATCCCTGAGCGGCCGGCATTCGATACTATGAAACAACGACTGCCATTTGCCATAAATTATCCTTTTTACTTCAACTTAAACCCTTCCTCAACGAAACAAACATTACTGTTTTTTTTTTTCCTATGTAACCCCTAAAACGACCCCCGGCAATATCCACCCCCACCCCCCCCCCCACCGGCAGCGCAGCCTCTGACCTACAACTTAAACCCTCTAAATGACTAGCGAGTGTGAGCAAAGCGGAAAAAATAATACTTTTAGATATTTACATTTTAATTATAAAGTCAGATATGGTGCCCGATAAGCCCCTTCTCTTCGGCCAGATGAGTCGCCCGCCACTTTGTCGGCGACTACAAATCTATTCCGCACTAAAGAAATATCGATTTACCTTCCTTAAAACCATATCATCGGCTAAAAAAATAAAAACGCCGAGAAACGGCACCCCGGAGCTGTCAAAACTGCGCCCAACCCCCGAACCTGAAGGACCGGGAGGCCATCTTTAGTCTGGCCCCTCACCAATGACCTCTCCGGCTTGGGTGACCCTGCCAGGTACATACGTTCCCACCGGCATAGATCACTGAGGCTTTCAAGCTCCCCCACCACTACAAAGTAATTGCCTCTGCGGGGATATTTACTAAGGATAAAAAGGAAGGGTGCTACACCCTCCGGAAAAAAAAACCCAATCACGTGTGACGTCAGACGGCCGCCATCTTTTACTAAGGATAAAGTAGAGGGTGCTAAGTCCCCGGATTTAAATACGCGCTCTAAACGTCTCGTATAACTACTAATGTGACTGAAACTTGGAGCACAACTAAAAGATATAAAGTGACATTACATTTTCGAAAACAGAGTCTTGCGACGAATCTTTGGACCCATTAATGATGCAAACAGCGGGGAATGGAGAGTGAGAAGCAACAACGAAAATAATCTGTTTAAATCACCTTTGATCTCTGGCATCATGCAATCTAATAGAGTGAAATCGATGGGGCATATTGAGAGAATGTCAGATGACAGAGAGGTAAAAACTGTAACACCAGGAAAGGGAGATGAATTGTCGTAGACCACGAAGAAAACCAAGATTGTGGAGAAATAATATCCAGACAGACCTGCAAACACTTGGTGTCCCCAACTGGAAAGAGAAGGCGAACCAGAGAGATGAATGGAGGCTGGTGATATCTGCAGCAATGAACCTCAAGGGCTCGGAATGCTCTCTCTGGCAGTGCGACTATCAGAAAAGGGCCCTCTATGGACGGCAGAGACATTATCAATGCCATACGAGGGACTAAACGCTGTGATTTTTGTGGTAAATAATTGTACACTGAATAGACTGCATACCCTGGGTGTACCAATTGGAGCCGCGAGACAGGAAAACAAGAGGTCTCTATTAGATGGAGACGGTCTTGGGAAAACCATTGGGGAGCCACCCGTCGTTACATCAACCAGAACAGAATGGGATTTGTTAGCCTAACAACACTTGGAGACATTCACAGGAGGAGATTGGAGCACTCATGGTCATGTCCGATGTGCTATGAAAATGATCTTCAGTTGAACTATGAACGCCAGTCACCGTAAATTATATAGACGCTTGAGAAGTTGAGGAGTTATTGTTAGAATTTTACAAACACATTCCTCATACACTTTTCTAAAAAAAAATTATTTATACGAGATGTTGAATTGAGAATCTACATCACAGCACTCGAGACACCTCCTTAAGCGCTTCGTCGCCATCTTCAGCAGCAAGCGAAGAGTTAAAATTCCGATGGTAGCAGTAACCGTCTGATTGTATATCCCTCTCGCTTTCCTCTGAGTGTCGAGAGTCTGCCAGATCCCCTTGTAACTCCTCGCAGCGCCATTCTCTTTAGAACGTAAAGATCTGTCTTTGGCACTGTTCACTCGTTCCCAAAGGGCCCTCACAGCATCCAGCTTGTCATACATCAATAAGTTCACCACTAAGTGGTATAGAACCGGTCAGCCAATCTGCCTGCTCATTTCCCAACACACCGGCATGACCTGGAGAAAAACTCCAAAGGTTGCTAACTACCCGGGACCTTTCTACGTGTGATTTTGCCTACAGTGAGTGTAAATTTATCACATTGCCTTGTTATGAGAGGGAGTCGCCGTCGCTGAGCCGCTAAACGCTCGCCGCGGATCGGAAGGTCGTGGGTTCGCTCCCTGGAGGTGCTGGACGTTTTTCAAAAATGACCTTGACTCCCAGGTCGACCCAGCCTTTAGTGGGTACCGGGAAGTAAAGGCGGCTGGCGTGATGCTGACCACATCACCCATCTTGTGCTGATTGGTCTATAACAATATAGGTCTAGCCCTATATGCCCTATACGCCTAATGGCGTGGAAAGGGTCCTTTACTTTACTTACTTTTACTTGTAATGAGGTAAGTGAGCAAAGCTATCGTTTGACGCCATTGCTTCATCGGGCTAGACACATTTTATAGACCAACTGGCCCTTGATGGATGATGTGTCAGCATCACAGGAGTCTCTTTTATCTACATGGGAACCAAGGTCATTTTTGAAGATTTAAAACATCCAACTGAATGCGGATTTGAACCCACGACCTTGTGATCTGCAGGCAAGCATCTAGCCGCTACATCACAGTGGCTCCTAAAAAGTAGGTAGCAAATTCAAATGACACAGTTTGTCACTCCACACTGTAAGTGAGAGCTCATTAATACCACCGTGTGCCTTATATTGGTAACCTAGATAGATCATCATCATCATCATAAACCACTTCTGCCGTTAAGCGCCATGGGGAGGAATAATTTGCGATCCAGTGCACGTTGGTTGCCACTGGCTTTTGTCATGCCGTGAAGGCGTAGACTGACTTTAAAGTTGTCGATCCATGTTTTCCGCGGCCGTCCTCTTGCTCTTGTAGCTATCTTCTGAGATGTAGTTCTTGTGATGGTATTTGATCTTGCTGCATTTTAACAAGATGGCCAAACCACTTAATCTGCTGTTTCTCGGTGAATCTAGTAGAAGATGTCGTACCCACAATTTGCCTGATAGTTTCATTATTCACTCGATCTGGGATGGTTAGGTTGGCTGTTTTTCTCAGGCGTCTCATCTCGCAGGTGGTGATTTTGTGTATATGGGCTTTAGATAGTGTCCATGTTTGGCATTGGTAGCTTAATGTTGGAATAAATATGCTGTTTAAGATCTGTCTCTTTGCACTCATAGTTATGCTTGGACGTCTTAATAATGGGAACAGTTGGTATATAAGTGCACTTGCCTTCTGACATGTGGTTTGTATTTCTCTGTCAATTCTACCATCTTCTGTGATCATATTTCCTAGATATTTAAACTCCCTAACTTGATTCAGGGCAGAACCATTCAGCTGTATGTGTAGTGGGGCAGGGGTTCTACTAACTTGCATTTTTTTTCGGTTTTGTTTACATTGATCTTCATGTTGTATTTACTGCATGCTGAGTTTAAACAGTTAAAGGTAGATCATCATCATCAGGTGCCTTGCCGACTGGCGTGGGCGATCATGCCTCTCCATAATCTGCGATCTCCTGCAGCATGTATCAGTTCGGGTGCCGACACACCTCCATGCCATGCAACAAGACTGTCAAGCATCTTCTCTCGTTGTCTTCTTCTATCCCTTTTTCCACAGATCTTTCCAGTGGTCACAACATGTTATATTTTCCCTCTTCTCATAACATGGCCGAAAAATGATGACTGTCTCCTTCTGATGTCTGTGATAAGTTGTTTTCGGGCTCCCGCCTCTTTCAAAACCTCTTGGTTGCTCTTTTTGGCTGTCTAAGGTATTCTAAGCATTCTTCTGTAAAACCACATCTCTAGGGCCTCTAAAAATTGTTTGGCCTGCCCACCGATTGTCCAGGATTCACATCCATATGTTAAAACTGGATGTATGTAGCAAGCAAGAATTCTTTTTCTAACTCTCAATAACAAGGATATATTGCACAAGATGTTTTTCATTTTATAAAATGCAGTTTTTGCCTGTCCAATTCTGTTTCTTATTTCTCAGTTATGCATCTTCCATCTGATGTTATCCATGTGCTCAGATACTTACATTTCTGTACCATTGACTTTTATTACACATTTAGGAATAATTTGTTTCTTTGATATCACCATTACTTCTTCACCATTACCATTAAAGGTAGATAACCAGTACAAACTGCCAGTCAAGTTTCCTCAGTTATCTCTCTTGCTCTGGCTATTCACAACAAAATGGCTGCGCCGAGTTCAGAAGAGTTGAAGAAGGCAATCAAAGGTATTTCCTAATTTATTATACATATTTGGGGCATTTCGTTGCTTTCAGTTAATGTAGTACATTAGCATCAGATGAAAAAAAAAATGTAATTTGGTTCACGCACCGTAAAGGGACCACAGTATATTTATTTACACTATTCGGTAAGAACCATTTTGAATTTCGGTTGAATAACGACCGTTTTTTTTTTAAATTCTGCATATTTCTGTTACAACACACACACCATAGGAAGTGTAGAACTCCATATACTTGGGCTGTAGTTTACAGAAGAGTATCAAGTTGTTTGTAAACCAGCTGGTTTATTTCAGTGAACTTGATCAACTTGAAACAAGTGTTAGTAGTTGGTTGGGAACGTACGAAAGACGTGGTGTCCGCCTGGCTGATTGATAGAGCGGCACGCTGCTGCCCCACGATGAGATGAGATGAGGCGTGCTGTCTCCTCTCGACATCAAGGCTTTCTACCATCGCTCACTATGTGGTTCAGTTTTGTAGATCAACTCTGCATCCCCCGTATAGACGTAGTTAGTACCAACCTGCTCATTTCACTAAAAATGAAAGCATGCTAAAGCCAAACCTGTCACTGTCATATTTGGAAAATTATTTATTGAGATAGTGAAAGTCCATTGTCATTGTACCTATGGTCACTGTGGAGGTTGTCAGCAGACAGTTGGTCCCCACCACTCTGGGTCTGTCTCTTGTGATCTTGTCTTGGTAATAAATTCATTCTTTGGTTTTTGTTTCTCCATCTCTTGATGTTGTTCTCCCACATGTGTATTGTTGTCTACCTGTTGCTCTCTTGCCTTCGACTTTTATGTCTTTTAATGAATGTATTCATCGCCGGCTGTTGCAGCTGAGACAGGAGATGGAGCTTATATGGTCTTGTCCTGAATGCCGTAATGTCAAATCTTTACCCGCCCTGTGTGGGTTCTAGGGTTCTGTTGTGGGGGAAACAAGACTAGACCCACTGCCTCCCCAACAAGCATATCAAGTCGACTAACTTTGGAGTTGGAGTGCATCTTCCTGAGATACAAGGAACCAAAAATCTGATTACAAATAAGTTAGATCTGTAAAACAGATGTGCACACAACACTCCGGTTCTGGAACAGGACTAAAGTCCAGATGTAGACGAACTAACAGAGCTTTCTGTCGGAGTTCACAACCGGTGAATGTGAAGAAGAAGAAGAATCTTGACCAGATAACCCTAGAATAAAATTCATGTGAATTCAAAATTTTGTATATTTTTTCAGTAGCGCACTCCTCATTCCGTCTCTCTAACACATCTGTAGTCAGTTGTTTTTGTCTCTATTAGATACAACCTGTTTACATATCCACATCTCCAGAGACTCAATCTAGTTTTCTAGTTGCTTGTTTATTCAAGTGATGGGACCATTCTTCCCTGGATGTTTCCGGGACGATTCCAGAGTAAAATGAGCTTTAAAATGTTTAGTTTTTCCCTGGATTGTTTCAGGTACAACTGTTGGAGAGTAAAATGAGCTCATAACAAGAATCCAGGACATAGGATCTGTTTCTTTGACTATCCTCTAAAATCAGGGACAAATGGTTAACTTATTATTGATTGTCTGATCAGGTTTCTGGTCTATGCATAATATACAAGTATCATTTTTGTTTCACTATTCTGTTTGTTTTCTGTTAAACCTGTTATTTATCAAATTCCTCCTGTTATCTCCCAGGCAACATATTTAATACTGTATCTTTGGGACAGTTCCATTACATCTCTTTAAGAGAAGAGTAGAAATACTGAGTGTTTCAGCCGTAGATGCTGCAGCATATTAATTAAAACAAAACACAATGAAAAACTGAAGAAAATGTCATTGTGTTTATGAATGACATGAACCAGTCGGAAGGTTCCCTCCAGACTAATGTCGGGGTCATTCAGCAGAGAATTAGCGGGGCATTTCTATTTGTAGTTTGTTAATGATTCTTGTTAACAGCTTCTGCACATGTTGCACACTAGCTATGTAAATTTCTTGCTGTTTTTTCTTTTCCACCGCAGGTCACACATTTGCTTTGTTGTGTTTTTTCTTTGGAGACTTTATTTTCTAACCTCTCTTCTACTGATCTGTTTTTGTGCATAAAAGCATTTACATCCATGGGCAAAGTATTTCTATAAAGTGCCGTATTAAATGGATCTGTTGAGTGCAGCCGAGAATACAAGACCTATGTGGAAATTGCAACTGTAAAGTTTAACTGTCTTGACAGTGATGATGAAAGAAAGGAGAGAATTGACTTATTGCACTGGATTCATTTGGCTAGGGCTCTCTCCACAGAGCATGAACTCAGCACAGATGAAGGGAACTGATTAGCTCACATTATTTGACCATCGACAGTAACTTTATATGCCATGTTACAGCTATCATCCAAACTTGTTTTTTTTTTACCACTTTGATCTTTTTGCAGACATTCTCAAGGGTGCTGACCTTGACACCTTGTCAGCTAAAAAAGTGCGCAAACTGTTGGAGGACAAATTTAGCGTGGATTTGAATGAAAGGTAAAACATCATGCCATTGTGTAACAAGTATTTTTTAATTGTTAACTTAGTTAAATTATTGTTAAACTGACTGTGTTTGCTAACCTGATACAAGCTATTGGAATCTGATCAGTTAATGGAGAATAGAGGGCAGAAGCAGAAACCACATTAACCCAGTTTGTGAGTATTCTACCTTTGATTCCAACAAAGAGCGAGTTCTGTGGAAATGCATGAACACCTGTGCCAGCTGGCAAGGCACTTCAAACATCTTGACTGTCTGGGAATGTAATAGTTCTGTTCAGTTTTCATGTGTTTCTTGAAGGGCTACCTTATGTCCATTCATAGTATTCTGTAAAAGTTTCCCAGAAACCATCTTTCTCCTGCCAGTAGGTGTTTCTCAGCTTGTCCACATTTCCAAAGATTACCATGGTATTGTGTCTGCACAGTTAGAAAGAAAGAAAAAGAAAAGAAATGTACAGTTATCTGATTGCACATGTTTATTAGTTGACAGGAAAGGTCATGCAACTAACAGTTAGTGATGACCCTGGTGCAGAAGAACTGTCAGTTGATTGGCTGAACCCTATTGTATTCTTGAAAGCAATTTGAGTAGTTTCACTCATTATATTACAAAGATTGTGCATGTCAACATTAGGACAACATTATGTTCCTTTCTTTAGCTGTGCATATTATTATTTTTAATAGTATATGTAGGACTTCAGATTCTTTTTCTCACTGTAACTGAATTTTAAAAAAAAATGATGAGTTTGTGTTTTTTTAATTTTGCAAAATGCAACTGTTGCCATTTGATTCTTGTTTTCTAACTTACAGTAATATGGTGATTTTGGTGTTAATCTCTGAAAGGCATCAATAATTATATCACAGAAACCTGCCAAAATACACTTTGCTTAGTTACATGATAAAAGATGCAAGAATGAAATGGTATTTGAAAGAAGGGAGATCAGAAAGGCAGAATGCTAGATGTGCCAGCGTGCCCAGTTCTTAACCTATTAAAAATATAGTTTGTTTGTTCTAGAAAATAAAGTTGGCCAGCCTGACACTTACCACATGCCTCATTGAGTGCAGATGAGTCTGTTTCTTATCCTCCTTCACATTCGCTAGCTGTAAACTATTGTGGAAAGTTCTGATTGTTTGTCTACTTGTGAATTTCCGTTTGACAGATCTGACTTACTTGTATGCAGACTGTTTGATTCTTGTCTTTCAGGTGGATGACTTCAAAGGAAACCACTGATTAGTTGATTGTTGCCACATGCTATTTAGGGAGACAGTGGTACTGCTCCCCTTGCCACATGCTTGTTAGAGAGACAGTGGTACTGCTCCCATTGCCACACGCTTGTTAGAGAGACAGTGGTACTGCCCCCCTTGCCACATGCTTGTTAGAGAGACAGTGGTACTGCCCCCCCTTGCCACATGCTTGTTAGAGAGACAGTGGTACTGCCCCCCTTGCCACATGCTTGTTAGAGAGACAGTGGTACTGCCCCCCTTGCCACATGCTTGTTAGAGAGACAGTGGTACTGCCCCCTCCTCCTTTTTTCCCCAGTCGAGAGCCCTGGAACCAACACAGGACAGATTATTGTAACAATGCGAAGCTGATGCCACACACCCAGTCACCCTCATCTCCAGGAGACCTCAGTGTTGACCATCACGTGCTAGCGTGCTGGATGTCTGCCGTAGCCAGTGTGTATTTGATCTCTGTATTTCCTGCAGGATAGTAGAAACATATCATTGAGCTGTCTCTGTATTTCCTGCAGGATAGTAGAAACATATCATTGAGCTGATCTCTGTATTTCCTGTAGGATAGTAGAAACATATCATTTAGCTGATCTCTGTATTTCCTGTAGGATAGTAGAAACATATCATTGAGCTGTCTCTGTATTTCCTGTAGGATACTAGAAACATATCATTGAGCTGATCTGTGTTTGCATTCCTGACAGGAAAAAGGAAATTGACAGCCTTGTGATGAAAATGATAGAGGATGAAGGAGATGACGATGATGATGCTGGGAAGAAAGATTCCAAAAAAGCTGAAGGCAATGACCAGAATGGGGTCAGTGAGGAAGGAAGTGATGTGGAATCTGAAGAGGAGGTTAGTTCTGCCACATGATGTCAGTTTAAGGACAGGGTCAATTTTTTTCAACACATTCCCCCACCAGTGACTTTGTGACTGCTAGAGTCAGTCAAGTCAGTGACCCTTTTCTACACCTTGAGGTGTATTAGACATTTAGGCCCAGACCTATATTTTACAGACACAAGGTGTAATGTGATCAACCAGACACAAGGTGTAATGTGATCAACCAGACACAAGGTGTAATGTGATCAACCAGACACTACTTGTGTTGTGATCAACCAGACACTAGGTGTGATGTGATCAACATCACACCAGCTGCTTTTTCTACCCATTTAAGGCTGGGTCGACCTGGAGCCAAGGTCATTTTTTTAAAGAAAAAGTCCGGGTCTGAACCCACAACTTTCTGATCTGCAGGTGAGCATTTAGCCGTTACATCACAGTGGCTCCCCTGATAAATTTACTTATGAGAAAGTAATGTGGTTTGGTTTTCCCTTGACCTTGCCTGTGAAGTAGCCTGCTTCAAGTGTATACTTTTGTGGGTTCAGATAGTTGACATGACACCCCCCCCCCCCCCTTCCCACGTGTGGGTTCCGGGGCCCCATTGTGGGGAAAACAAGAATAGACCCACTGCCTCCCCAAAAGCATGTCGTAAGGGTTGACTAATTGGGGAGCTTCCTTTGAAGTCGGAGTGCATCTGCCGGAGAGGCAAGGAACCAACAGTCTGTATTCAAGAGAATGAGATCTGTAAAGCTGATGCACACGCAACACTCAGGTTTCGGAGCAGGACTGCAGTTCAGTAGTGGACGAGCAACCAGAACTTTCCGCCAGAGTGTACAGTTGGTGAACGCGAAGAAGAAGAAAAAGTTGACATGACATTGCAGAACCAACCCCAGCATATGTTGACTGCTTTTGGTTTTACCAGGCCATTTAACACTTAGTAGTTGCCATTGCTTTTGATACCCCTGTGAAAATCAACGCAAGGCAGTCTGCTCCCAAATCAAATGCAGCTGGGATCTAACAGGTCACCTTAGAATCATGAAGCACATTCACAACTCCTAAGTCACAGATGTTGACCGTTGTCAGAGAAGGAAGCTTTGAATGCAGCCTCTTGTCTTCTGGGTGTCTTCACATATTATTAGATGATGTCTTGTCACCTGTTCAGTTATTTCACAATTGATTTTTGTGAGACCACCATCCGGATCATTTGTTTCAGTTTATTTGTAGATCAGTAACTTATTTTAGGGTTATTGCAGACTTATGATGCTGGTAGACTTCAAAGACATTGGAAGATACGAATTATGAAACTTTTAAACACTGGTCATTTGTTTATTGTAAACACTGTATTTATTCTTCCACTTGTGATTCCTGTGAGTTGGGTTTGATTTCTCTGAGGAGGGTTTACCCAAGGGTAACCCAAAGATCTGTGTGTCCCACTTTGGTGTGCAGGATGTTTCAGGTAACCCAAAGATCTGTGTGTCCCACTTTGGTGTGCAGGATGTTTCAAGTAACCTAAAGATCTGTGTGTCCCACCTTGGTGTGCAGGATGTTTTAGGTTTACTTCTTTCAGACAGACCTCAGTTAATATGGTAGGCTTTATCTTCCATTTGAAAATTTGTGTCCTAACATTTCTCCAGGGCAGTAACCTTGCACCCTACATTTTATTGTTTCTGAATGCCACTCTTTGGCTTACAGATTAATGGGCATATTTCACAATCTTTGACTTACTACATTTTGATTTTAGAAAAGAACTGTTCTTTTGGCTTTCTGACAGTAGTACAAGAATCCCAGAGAGAAAGTGGTTGTAGCGAGAGGAAATGACAGCTACAAAATGCCATGGAATATTTAATGGTCAGATATGGGCTTAGGACCTCCTGCTTGTCAACTGTTATCTCGGGAGGCTAGCCTCTTCAGACACTAAAGGGCTGTGTGGTAGCATTAGACACTGTTGGTTGTGGTCAAACTTCCTGCCCTGTAGTAGGGTTTGAGCTGGTCATTTTTGAGCCTGTGATCAGTACAGCTCTCTGCCACTCTCCCTAAGATGACACTGATTCTTGTTTACAGGTGCCCAAGAAGAAAGCCAAGAAGTCTGCAGCCCCAACAAAATCCAAGGTAGAGTCCATTGTTGTGTTCTCTTACTGTGGGTCTTAGCCCCCTGGTCTTGCTGATGACCCTGGCTGATTGACTGTCCTATTTACTGTCATGGTTGTGAATGACTTTTATTTCTACATAATTATCCAGAATTGTTGCTTTAATCCTCACGCTGTAATGATTCTGCTGCTGTATTTGTTGCCTTGATTTAGTATATTGTTAGCTGTAACTGTTGTCTGTGTGCTACAGTTGTATTGTTAGCTATAACTGTTGTCTGTGTGCTACAGCTGTATTGTTAGCTTTAACTGTTGTCTGTATGCTACAGCTGTCTTCAGAAACCCTGGTGATCTCCTAGTGGGTTCACTTAGTATACAGTCAATCATGGTTATATATACATCCCTTCTGCTGGATGTGTTTGTGGATCCGCTAGAATATCCGTCCGCCACACATTGGTTTTTAGGGCTGGTTAGCGAAGCACAGAACACTAACACTAATCTACTGTGTGTAATGTCAAGAGGTCTCTGGAAGGGTTGGCCTGTCACAGGCTATTTATTCCATTGAAAAATGCAACAGCTCTAACCCGATTACAGCAGTGGCCATGAATTGGGTGAGGGCCTATTTTCCATGTGGAGATGGAAGCCAGAAGAAGAAGAGGTTGGGGCCTGTGTAGTCTTGTCACAAGGATGTTAGAAATATTTCTGGTCATGGAGGAAAGTGGTCACAGCCGCTGATTACATAACAGCCTGATGTATGCGAAGATCTCCCACTGGACACCTCTTCTATAGTGTTTACCACACCAAACATCATCAGCCTGTGTTGATGCTTTTCTTTTTATTATTTATAGTTGTCTGACTGCTGAAGCTTTCATTAACCCTTTTAGCACGGGAAGTTTTTCAGAAGTCTAGCCAAAAACACGGAGCATTTTTTCAGTAAATTTGGTTATTACTTTATTTAATTTTTTTGACAGATTTCTGTTATTCTGACCCCTATGAAATAATATATCTATTTGAAGGATATAGATTGAAGTTCGTGATTTTCACAATATCGTTAAAATTAATTGATGTATATGCAAATTATCTCATTTGCATATCTAAAAATAGAAAATATGAATTTGAATTTTCAACTTCAATGCTTGAAACATAAAACTAAAAACAAAAATTTTTTTTATTTGAAATCTTTTTATTGATCTTTGGCCTTTTTACAAATGTTGTAAGCAATTCGATAGTCAAAAACATGTATATATATGTGAAACAGCAATAATATCTTTAGGTGACATGTGTTTTTCACCATCAGTCAGCACTATAAATGGATGTGCCGGAGTGTCAACACCTTCGGGTGGATATACCCTGAGCCATGGTTGGGCTGTGGTCTGAACACAACAGCGTCCCCATCTGATTCCCACTATTACTACTAACACTAAATCCTGCATCAGTATCAACAGAATTAGTGTCAACACTTGATTCAAATGTTTTATCAACATCAAGTTTAGGGGCAGAAACATACGAGTCAGACATACTTTTAGCGGTTCAGGTCACTATCTAAAAAATTCAACAACAATTTTCACTTCGATACCAAACACTCGAAAGTCGCCATGTGTAAAGCTGATACCGCAGTTAATATAAATGAATCACTTTCAGTGTTTCAAAGTAGGAGATTTCTTAGCGGTTCGAGGCGAAACACAATCGGGCCGATCATCGGCCGTTCCGTGTTTTTGGCAAGACATCCGCCGGCCGATAATCGGCCCGTCCGTGCTAAGAGGGTTAACTGCTCTTCATTGCTTTCTGACTCTCCTGCCTAGTACAGTCCCGCTTCAGCTGGTTTCTGACTCTCTGCCTAGTACAGTCCCACTTCAGTTGGTTTCTGACTCTCCTGTCTAGTACAGTCCCGCTTCAGCTGGTTTCTGACTCTCCTGTCTAGTACAGTCCCACTTCAGTTGGTTTCTGACTCTCCTGTCTAGTACAGTCCCACTTCAGCTGGTTTCTGACTCTCCTGTCTAGTACAGTCCCACGTCAGTTGGTTTCTGACTCTCCTGTCTAGTACAGTCCCACTTCAGCTGGTTTCTGACTCTCCTGTCTAGTACAGTCCCACTTCAGCTGGTTTCTGACTCTCCTGCCTAGTACAGTCCCACTTCAGTTGGTTTCTAAATCTCTGCCTAGTACAGTCCCACTTCAGTTGGTTTCTGACTCTCATGTCTAGTACAGTCCCACTTCAGGTGGTTTCTGACTCTCCTGTCTAGTACAGTCCCACTTCAGCTGGTTTCTGACTCTCCTGCCTAGTATAGTCCCACTTCAGTTGGTTTCTGACTCTCTGCCTAGTACAGTCCCACTTCAGCTGGTTTCTGACTCTCCTGTCTAGTACAGTCCCACTTCAGCTGGTTTCTGACTCTCCTGTCTAGTACAGTCCCACTTCAGCTGGTTTCTGACTCTCTGCCTAGTACAGTCCCAGCTGGTTTCTGACTCCTGTCTAGTACAGCCCCACTTCAGCTGGTTTCAGACTCTCCTGTCTAGTACAGTCCCACTTCAGCTAGTTTCTGACTGCCTAGTACAGTCCCAGCTGGTTTCTGACTCTGTCTAGTACAGTCCCACTTCAGCTGGTTTCTGTGTTACCCTTCTGACTCTCCTGCCTATTACAGTCCCACCTCAGCTGGTTTCTGTGATCCCCCTCTTTTGCTGTGACCCTTATGTTCATTGGACTTCTAATAGTTATAATGAACAGTGTTGTAATGTTTATTCTTTGCTGTGCTCTAGAATGCTATAGTATATGTTCCTTAAAGCTTGCTGTGAGCTGCCACTCAATGTTACACCCAACTTATCTTGCCGTTCTTTCTAGGATGCAATTTTTTTGTTATTTGAAGCCCTACTCTGGCTCATGCAGGGGGCTGCAACATAGCCTGGCCATAAATATGGCCAATTGTCTGAATGCGGTTTCTGGGACCTCTCCATAGTGATCCTCATCCACATGGTGGCACATTGTGTTTATCGCTTGTGTGATGTCCTAGTGGGGTAGAAAGTCAGTCAGTCTGTGAGCTGCCTGCGTATGATTAGATTATCTTTATGTTTGTTATTGAAGGTCTGAGACGTTACAAACAGGGGCCGGCCAGTCTTGCCAGAACACCTGCACAATGGGAAGAGATTAATCTCAGAATCAGGACATCTGCTTCATGCTGATCATACTAACCAACTTTGCTGTATCATCATCATCATCTTCATCATGTACCATGCCGGTAACTGTGGGCAGTCATGGTTGGCCATCTCACACGATCACCAGTCATGGATCGGGTCTGTGTTCTTGCATGTACCTGTCTGTCCCAGTGGTCATAGGTTCTGAGACCTTGTCTAGAATATTGTTGACTGGGGCATTAGCCCAGCCTAGACTGGCTACCAGGACATGTTCTGGGAAGTAAAGGTGGCTGCCATGATGTGCCAGTTGGTTTGTTGAAATGTCTGGCTGCCATTACATGTGTAACATGACTGCAAGGAAGTGGGTCTTTTAGTGTTTCTCATTAATGATTGTCTCACTGTAATTGTCATTTCTGTGCTAGCACTGTCATTTTCTCACAGTACCATTATTCACTGTGCTATAGCTTATACAAGTGCTAAATGCAGTATTTTCTTGCAGTGTTTACCCTTGCTAGACTGTCCATTTATTGTGTATGCAATATTTTTTGATTTATTTTTAAATTGCTGCATTTATTTCTATCCCACCCCCAAACCTCACCCACCCTTTTTGTGTGCTTTTTATTGAATGCTTTTGAAAACAATAGTGCACTGCAAAATCTCACGTGTATATATATATATATATATATATATATATATATATATATATATATATATATATAATGCACACTGCCATGTGCTGTAAAATCTCACGTGTATATATATATATATATATATATATATATATATATATATATATATAATGCACACTGCCATGTGCTGTAAAATCTCACCTTTATATAATTATATATATATAAATTGCACACTGCCATGTGCTGTAAAATCTCACCTTTATATAATTATATATATATAAATTGCACACTGCCATGTGCTGTAAAATCTCACGTATATATAATAACACTTGTAAAATGTAAACATGTGATTTAACCTACAACTTCCTGGTGAAATGAATATTTGTGTTGAGTACGCGCCATAATTTTTTGAAATTGTATTTTATTGACCATTTATTAGCAAATGTTATTTTTTTTAACATAAAAGTTTAATTAAAAACAGAAATAGATATGTATCCCTGCCATAGAAAGAAACTGATGTCTAGTGTCGTGTAGTCAGTGCCATCACTGATGCCATCATAGTCAGTGTCTCACTCATGTGCTCCAGCACTGGTTGAGTTTTTCTCCCACAAAGCCTCATTCTAGTACCTGAGATGTCACATGAATAAATATTGTGCTTATTATGCATGGGATTTTACCTGATTTCTTGTGACCTTTGTTTAATGTTAGATGTGCTGTTTGTTAATTTGCTGCTATATTCTTGAATGCTGTAGCAGATGTTTCTTGTTGTGTGCAGTACGCTGTCTGTTTGTCTGCTATTGCATCAGCTATTCCTGTTATGCTCTCATTCATTATTTTTCTTTTTTAATTGAACCCAATACTGCAAACTGATTGCTGATGTCTTGCATTTCTCTCCCTTGCAACAAATATTTGTATCTGACTATATATGTTAATTCAGGTCCTGGCCGTGCCGGTAAAAGGGAAGTAAAGGGAAGTAAAGGCGGCTGGCATGGTGTTACATCAGCCACCAAGTGCCAGTGATCTATAAAATATAAGTCTAGCCCTACATGCTCAATTATGCCTGGAGGTGTGGGAAAGGTCTTTTACTGACTGTATTTGTGAAACTTGCTACAACTCCATCAATTGTTTCCTTATTCGTTGCTGTTTTGCATTGTTTTCAGCAGCTTGTGTAATTTTGTTATTAGCTTTCTGAGGTTATTTTTCTTTTTTCAGTCTTTTTTCTACCTGGCATTTTGTTTGAATACCCCTTAAGCTGTTGCTTTATTCTTTTTGTATATTTGTTGTTTCTGTGACATTAGTGTTTGTATATGTTTACATCTGTGGTGATATTTATTGCATGTCTGTGTGTGCCTGGATGTATAACTATTGTTGGCTGGCCCAAGAAAAGGACGCTCTCCTAGTGATATGACTTGTCTGTTTTCTGTGAACTTAGAAGAAGAAGTCAGCCAGAAAAGCTGACGATAGCGAAGATCCGGTGATGTCCAGTGTCAGACAGGTTTGTTGGCCACAGTTTGTTGCCAGTTTGTCTGTTACTGTTTTGTCTACCAGTTTTATGGAAATTTAGCTTGGATGCTGTCCTAATGAAAGACCCAGAAGTGTATCTGGGGTCTAGTTAGATTTGATCTGTAAACAAAGTAATGTTGCATGTTTGCTTCATTTCTTCTACTGTTCTCTTTGTCTTCATATCCCTTGTGTCATTCGCCATTGTTCCTCTCTTTCTCAGCTGCATCTCTCTCTCTCTCTCTGTGTCTCTATCTCTTTCTCTGTGTCTCTGTTTGTCACTGCAGTTTTGCCCAACCAGAACCTGTGAGACAACCGTTGACTCTAAAGTTACATTAGAAGTAAGCATTAGATTTAGCCTGGTTACCGCCACCTGTCTCAGTGTTGATAGACTTCACGTCTGATGTTCAGCAGTAAACAGATGTGCCATCTTAAAGTAGTGTTATTATTTCTATAATTACTGGGTTTTTTTTTTTAATTTTATGTTGCATTGTTGCCTATGCTTATTGCTTCTAGAGCACTATTAGGGAACAGTGGGTGCTTTTTCTGTTGTTGGTCTTGTATGTTCAGGTATTGCTTGCTTTCACATAATATGCATGAGCTCAATTTTCCTTTCTTTTTTTTAAAAATATTAATGTATAACTGTAATCTTTATGATTTCAATTGTCCCAGTGTTGATCAGCATGATTCTATGATTTCAATTGTCCCAGTGTTGATCAGCATGATTCTGGTAGTGCCCTGTGGATGGCAGCTAACAGCATCCTGTTACCCTAGTGTTCTCATCCTGCCTCTGTCAGTCACCACATTTTCACATCTGACCCATTCACTTTATTATTTTAATTTAAAAAAAAACACTTACCTCTGTTTGACAGACTTAATAGACATAGTGTTACCATAATGGAAGGCATCATCAATGTCATTGTTTGCTGGGTCCCAGCAGAGCATCACTCCCCTCACAGTCCGCCACATATAAAAGAATGTCTCTAAAAAAATGCTGCTCCTGGGTGGCAGAGGCAGAAAATCTAATCCAGCAAGTATGTGAACTAGATGAGATCAGTCACGGAAAAAGAGTGGATGGGTACACCATTAGACATGCATGATTTGTGTAAGGTTGTCATAAAACTGGGGAGGTACTAAAGGAATCGGATACCTGCCACTGTGGATGCTGAGACAAGGGCACTGACTGATCAGTGTTCCTGCCCAGAAGACATCATCATCATCATCTACACAGATGGGTCCAGGGCACTGACTGATCAGTGTTCCTGCCCAGAAGACATCATCATCTACACAGATGGGTCCAGGGCACTGACTGATCAGTGTTCCTGCCCAGAAGACATCATCATCTACACAGATGGGTCCAGGGCACTGACTGATCAGTGTTCCTGCCCAGAAGACATCATCACCATAATCTACACAGATGGGTCCAGGGCACTGACTGATCAGCGTTCCTGCCCAGAAGACATCATCACCATAATCTACACAGATGGGTCCAGGGCACTGACTGATCAGCGTTCCTGCCCAGAAGACATCATCACCATAATCTACACAGATGGGTCCAGGGCACTGACTGATCAGCGTTCCTGCCCAGAAGACATCATCACCATAATCTACACAGATGGGTCCAGGGCACTGACTGATCAGCGTTCCTGCCCAGAAGACATCATCACCATAATCTACACAGATGGGTCCAGGGCACTGACTGATCAGCGTTCCTGCCCAGAAGACATCATCACCATAATCTACACAGATGGGTCCAGGGCACTGACTGATCAGCGTTCCTGCCCTAACATTTCTTTCAAGTGATCATGCTACAGAGCTCTCTAGCTTGAGGATGTCCTGCTTGTGTAGCATTCAAGTTATGTTGCCCAAATGTATCACCTTTGGTCATGTGATCTGTTGTAGACATTGTTCTACAACATACATCCGACAGTAAGTTACAGAGGCAGTCAACTGCAATCCTGCACAGTACTGACCAGCTGACAGAGTGCACTGACATGATTGGTCAAGGTAGTACTTGCTGACAGAGTGCACTGACATGATTGGTCAAGCTAGTACTTGCTGACAGAGTGCACTGACATGATTGGTCAAGCTAGTACTTGCTGACAGAGTGCACTGACATGATTGGTCAAGCTAGTACTTGCTGACAGAGTGCACTGACATGATTGGTCAAGCTAGTACTTGCTGACAGAGTGCACTGACATGATTGGTCAAGCTAGTACTTGCTGACAGAGTGCACTGACATGATTGGTCAAGCTAGTACTTGCTGACAGAGTGCACTGACATGATTGGTCAAGGTAGTACTTGCTGACAGAGTGCACTGACATGCTGACAGAGTGCACTGACATGATTGGTCAAGCTAGTACTTGCTGGCAGAGTGCACTGACATGATTGGTCAAGCTAGTACTTGCTGACAGAGTGCACTGGCATGATTGGTCAAGCTAGTACTTGCTGATAGGCACTCACCATGCTACTCTAGGTCAACTCATGGGCATCTTCTTATAAGAGTTCACTGGCTGTAAACCTGGGTGGAAAGTTCTGGTTGTTTCTCCGCTTCCGGACTTTGGTCCTGTTCCAGAACTTGTTTTACCTGTGTTTACCAATCTGGCTTATTTATGTTCACTGTTAGTTCCCTGCCTCTCACACAGATACACTCTGTGTATCAAAGGGAACATCCCTGATTAGTGGCCTTGTATGACATGCTTGTTAGGGTGACAGTGGGTGAATTAATTTCCCCCCCCCCCCCCCAAAAAAAAAATGGGGCCTTGGAAGCACATAAGTTGTCTCTTGTGGCTAAAATATCTCCTTCACACACACAAGGAGTGTTTTCCTAAATATGCTCTGTTTTTTTTTTTTTTTTTACCTTACACAGATTACCCATTTTGTCAAACCTGTCTTGAACATGCTTTTTTACTCATTATCATTCGTCTTTTTAAATTACATTTCACAACAGTATCATTCCCACATATTAATTCATGTTGTGTATGGAAGTGATGTCACACGTCTGAAACATGTCTCTATGTAACATCACATATCTGTTTGTAACATCACATATCTGAATGTAACATCACATACCTGAATGTAACTTCACATACCTGAATGTAACATCACATACCTGAAAATAACATCACACATCTAAGTGACATCACACACCAGTTTATAACATTAGATATCTGTATGTAACATCACACATCTAAGTGACATCACACACCAGTGTATAACATCAAATATCTGTATGTAACATCAGATACATGTATGTAACATCACACACCAGTGTATAATATCAGATATTTGTGTGTAACATCACACATCTAAGTGACATCACACACCAGTGTATAACATCAGATATCTGTATGTAACATCACACATCTAAGTGACATCACACACCAGTGTATAACATCAGATATCTATGTAACATGACACATCTAAGTGACATCACACACCAGTGTATAACATCAGATATCCGTAAGTAACATCAGATACATGTATGTAACATCACACACCAGTGTATAATGAACTTGTTTATGGTGTCTCTAATTGCCCAGATGGATGACGAGGATCTGGCCAAAAAGCTGCAAGATGAGGAATCTGGTCTCCGCAGTCGAAGAGCTGCAGCTGTAAGTGTTGTTTCCTGTTGTCTGGGTCGTTGAGTGTACCTGGCAGTATGGAGATGAGGCTTCAGTGGTTTGTGAGACTTCATTAAGAAACTGTAGACAGGGGTCATCAGCTCTGCTTGGTTCAAGGGCAAGCAGCTTGCACGGAGATAATGCTTTCCTCAGTGATATAGTCCAGACAAGTTTGTTGCATCTATTCATACAAACTGTCTGCTGGTGGTTGTTATTTGTTGTCTGCTACAGACATGACTGTTAAGTTCTGTGAATTTGAGATGACTGTGTGGGTTTGACATGACTGTAGGAGTTTTGTGGGTTTGACATGACTGTAGGAGTTGTGTCGGTTTGACATGACTGTTGGAGGTGTGGGTTTGACATGACTGTTTGAGTTGTGGGTTTGACATGACTGTAGGAGTGGTGTGAGTTTGACATGGCTGTAGGAGTGGTGTGGGTTTGACAAGACTGTTGAAGTGGTGTGGGTTTGACATGACTGAGATGTGTGGGTTGGACATGGCTGTTGGAGTTGTGTGGGTTGGACATGATCGTTAGATTTGTGGGTTTAACATGACTGTTGGAGGTGTGGGTTTGACATGACTGTTGGAGGTGTGGGTTTGACAAGACTGTTGGAGTGGTGTAGGTTTGACATGACTGAGTTGTGTGGGTTGGACATGACTGAGTTGTGTGGGTTGGACAGGGCTGTTGGAGTTGTGTGGGCTTGACATGACTGAGTTGTGTGGGTTGGACAGGGCTGTTGGAGTTGTGTAGGTTTGACATAACTGTTAGATTTGTGGGTTTGACATGACTGTTGAAGGTGTGGGTTTGACATGACTGAGTTGTGTGGGTTGGACATGACTGTTAGAGTTGTGTGGGTTTGACATGACTTTTGGAGGTGTGGGTTTGACATGACTGTTAGAGTTGTGTGGGTTTGACATGACTTTTGGAGGTGTGGGTTTGACATGACTGTTAGAGTTGTGTGGGTTTGACATGACTGTTAGATTTGTGGGTTTGACATGACTGTTGAAGGTGTGGGTTTGACATGACTGAGTTGTGTGGGTTGGACATGACTGTTAGAGTTGTGTGGGTTTGACATGACTTTTGGAGGTGTGGGTTTGACATGACTGTTAGAGTTGTGTGGGTTTGACATGACTGTTGGATGTGTGGGTTTGACATGACTGTTGGAATTGTGGGTCTGACATGACTGTTAGAGTTGTAGGGATTGGACATGGCTGTTGGAGTTGTGTGGGCTTGACATGACTGAGTTGTGTGGGTTTGACATGACTGAGTTGTGTTGGTTGGACATGACTGTTGGAGTTGTGTGGGTTGGACATGACTGATGGAGTTGTGTGGGTTGGACATAGCTGTTGGAGTTGTGTGGGTTTGACATGACTGCATGAGTTAAAGCTCTCTGTACAACTGACCTCCCTTGTTGAGACAGAAATGTCATGTTGCAGCCAGAAATTCATTATTGTAAACCACCCTTGTAACCATTTCTTTTTTTTTTTTTTTTGGTTCTCTTTTACTTTCAGCCTAAACCCAAGAAGGAAAGAGAAAAACATCCAGAAAAGAAGAAGAAAAGTAAGTAGACCTGATATTTGTTTTAAAGCTATACAACTGCTGCAGTAATGTTGGAGACTAGTCCATTGTGTCACATTCTAGTTAATGCTTCATATTGTCTCCTTACTCAGCCATTGCTGAAATGATATTAGCAACTTGATATCAGTGTCTGCAGCAGTGCTGTTCAACAGAGTTGACTCAGGACCCCAAATGTTGACAATGTCTTATGTGTCACAGGCCAGAGGCCTGAACTGCCAAAGCTCCTGCCTTAGATCATGAGTGTAATCTAACTGGCAATGATCCATGGTTTACAGACATGGGATATTGCATCCGTCTGTGTCTATTATATCTATTTTGTCATATTTCAGTTTTCTCATTTCAAAATATTCCCAGAGCAGAGAGGAGCGCCTGACCGTACGGTTGGAATGCGAGGCTCTCACGCGGAAGGCCCTGGTTAGAATGCTCGGTAAGGCTGAGGATTTTTAATATCAGGGGCAAAATAAAATCCTTACCTGCAGTCATGTCAACAGCACTAGCCATGTGGCCGAAAATCTTCAGGCTCAAATACCCTCCTGTCTACATCGCAGAAGTGGTAATAAAGGCAGTTATTGGCAGTTGGCCAGGGCAGAAGCCCATAGACCTGCTGCTGACAATTCTTAAGTGGCAAGAGTTTGTCCTTGTGCTCATGTGATGAATTGTTCAATGTGAGAAGACAAGGTCCTAGTGAGAATGCCTCTGACACTGCTGGCGGCCAGAGCGTACAGCAAAAAAGTAGAAGCACCAAGAGACAAAAGGAGACCTAGAAAAAGATGGATTGTAGGAGTCGCTGGCAGCTTAAGGCTTCACAGCATACCAAGCAACCAAGCACGCCCTGGTTTTGCTACCTATCATTGTTTAAACATAAATTTTTTTTAGTCATAGTTTGGGGAGATGTTGCTTAGTTAGAAGACTAGATGATCTGCCACAGGTTGGGGCTGACATGAGGTTTCTATGCACACATTGCATTGAGAATATATTTCTCAACAGGAGATTGGAACTTTGGACTTTAGTTGGAGGCCAACATCATAACTGAAAGAGTAAGGTACTCACCTTCAGAACTGAGAAGAAGAGTCATGATCAGTCAATACAGAGGTGTAGGCAAGGCACTGAGTCTTTCTGGCACATAATGATAGTAGCCAGGTTCTGCCAAAGATCTGCTGTGTGATGGTATTCATCATAGTGATGTTGAGGATGATAATTGTGATGTTGATGATGATAGCTAGGATGTTGAGGATGATAGCTGGGATGTTGAGGATGATAGCTGTGATGTTGAGGACAATAGCTGTGATGTTGTGGATGATAGCTGTGATGTTAAAGACAATAGCTGTGATGTTGTGGATGAAAGCTGTGATGTTGTGGATGATAGCTGTGATGTTGTGGATGATAGCTGTGATATTGTGGATGATAGCTGTGATATTGAGGATGAAAACTGTGATGTTGAAGACAATAGCTGTGATGTTGAGGAATATAGCTGGGATGTTGAGGATGATTGCTGGGATGTTGAGGATGATAGCTGGGATGTTGAGGACGATAGCTGGGATGTTGTGGATGATAGCTGTTATGTTGGGGATGATAGCTGTGATGTTGAGGATGAAAGCTGTGATGTTGAGGATACTAGCTGTGATGTTGAGGATGATAGCTGTGATGTTGAGGATGATAGTTGTGATGTTGAGGATGATAGCTGGAATATTGTGGATGATAGCTGTGATGTTGAGGATGAAAGCTGTGATGTTGAGGATGATAGCTGTGATGTTGAGGATGATAGCTGTGATATTGTGGATGATAGCTGTGATGTTGGTGGTTTGTTTGATGAGACATTGTTTGCTAACTGAGGTCACTTTTGCTTCTAAGCCTCTCTGTACAGTCGCCCTTGCCATCTGTCAGAGCCGCTAGCTGCTGTTGTTGGATCTAACGAGGTGAGTGCATGTATCACAGTTACCTATAGATTGTCTTACTGACTGTGTAGTTAGAGGTGGGTGGGTGTCATCAGATGTGTCATAGTTATGTTAGATTGTCCTCAGATTGATTGTTGATACTGCAGCTATAGATTATTAGTTTTACACTGCAGCCATAGACTGATGTGTTGATGCTGTAGCCTTAGACTGATGTGTTGATGCTGTAGCCTTAGACATGTGTTGATGATGTAGCCACAGACTGATGTATTGATGATGTAGCCATGGACTGATGTGTTGATGATGTAGCCACAGACTGATGTATTGATGATGTAGCCTTAGACTGATGTGTTGATGATGTAGCCACAGACTGATGTATTGATGATGTAGCCATGGACTGATGTGTTGATGATGTAGCCACAGACTGATGTGTTGATGCTGTAGCCATAGACTGATGTGTTGATGCTGTAGCCATAGACTGATGTGTTGATGATGTAGCCATAGACTGATGTGTTGATGATGTAGCCACAGACTGATGTATTGATGATGTAGCCATGGACTGATGTATTGATGATGTAGCCACAGACTGATGTGTTGATGCTGTAGCCATAGACTGATGTGTTGATGCTGTAGCCATAGACTGATGTGTTGATGATGTAGCCACAGACTGATGTGTTGCAGCTGTTGCCATTGACTGATGTATTGCTGCTGTAGCCTTAGACTGATGTGTTGATGATGTAGCCATAGACTGATGTATTGATGATGTAGCCATAGACTGATGTATTGCTGCTGTAGCCATAGGCTGATGTGTTGCTGCTGTAGCCATAGACTGATGTGTTGATGCGGTAGCCATAGACTGACGTGTTAATGCTGTAGCCATAGGCTGATGTGTTGATGTGGTAGCCATAGACTGACGTGTTAATGCTGTAGCCATAGACTGATGTGTTGATGTGGTAGCCATAGACTGACGTGTTAATCCTGTAGCCATAGGCTGATGTGTTGCTGCTGTAGCCATAGACTGATGACTGCATATTAGATGGCAGTCTCGGTAATCTGTCCAGGACTAAAGGGCACACAAGGTGCCTCGGGAACTTTCTGTTGGCGGATGATGCGGCCATTACTGCACACGCAGAAAATGATCTATAGATTCACATGTATCACTTAGCAAAAAATGTCGACTTACCATCAGTCTCAGCTAAATGCAAGTGATGGAGATGAAGGTGGTGAATCCAACAAGCATAAACGTTTATGTTCATGAGTTTTAATTCCTAGGCCCTCGAATCGCAGATTATCTTTCCCTAGATGCAGAACTAAACAGACACACAGGAAAGGCTTCGGTTCTTAATTTATAACGTACCCCAAACACGAAATTTCCGTGGGAAATCTACAGCTGACCTGACAGTCCATTATTTCAAGGGGTGCAAGTGTGCTGTTGTGTGGTGCTTTTTTTGAGTGTTCATCTAGTGTCTTCTAACCCTAACCCTAACCCTAAACTTGGCTGTAGAGAAATCGCGATTAACTACAACCTGAACACCCTAGAATTTATTGGGAATGTCTCCCGTGACGTTGTCGTGACGTCAGGGGTAAGTTATGAATTAAGTACTAAGGCTTCTGCACTACTTTCAAAACTCATAACAAGAGTGTGGTCAATTCAAACAAAAGGCTCACATATAGGACTAAAGTTTCAGTTTATAAAGCTTGCCTTATAAGCACGCTCCTTAACGGTAGTGAAACCTGGACTCTGTATACTTCTCAAGATAGAGATAGAATACTTTTCGCATGCTCTGTATGGGACACATTCTTGGTATTTTATGACATATTTTCTCTGACAAGTGTGTCCTAAAAAACAAAAGCAGGAATGCTAGCAGTGTACTTTCTACTGAATCAAAGATGCCTGTGTTGGTTGGGACATGTGTCTTGCATGGAGGATGGATCACATTCCAAAGGATCTCATGTTTGGTGAACTGGTCACACGGATAAGATCTACAGGAAGGCCAGTGCTACGCTATAAGGGCATTTACACATGTGACCTGAAAGATATCTTTTACACAGACACTTGGGAGAGACCAACTGTTGCAGTTTTAAAGAGGCCAAACACGACAAGCTACAGAGAGAAGATTTCTAAGAAAAATAAATCAGCCTTGGGGTCAAAGAGTATCAACGTTTTTATGTGGAAAAGACATCCACTCCTGCATTGTACATTAAAGTCATAGCCGATGCTGTCTCCAAAACCAATGGCACAACTCTATGGTCCCTGGAGACTGATGGTTGACTATTACTACTAGACCTATGGTTGATTGGACACTGCAGCCATAGATTGAAGGTTTGACTCTGTAACCATAGAGTGATTGGGTTATAATGTAGCCATAGATTGATGCATTGATTTTGTAGCCATAGATTATTATTTCTGCTTTATTAATATCATGGTTGATGTCTTATGTATATACAAAGTCCTGGTTGTTGTAACTTAGTAACATAATGTCCACATGTATCTTGTCTGATTGTTCCTCAGATGCCTAGACCAGAAGTTGTCAAGACCTTATGGTCAGTGGTCAAGGAAAGGAAACTGCAGGTTTGTATTGTCAGTAATTTTGTTGTCTACTGCAGGAAAACTTTATCCCAAAGTTGTATAAGATTGATTTAAAACATTCACAATCTGGTTAGGTTTTTACACAAGTGTTTATGTCATATTCTAGCACACCACTCTCTTGATATTGTTACGTGTAATAAAGTCAGTACTAGATTTATGTTCTGAGAACACATGCTAGAAGAATGAAATGCGAAGGTGCATCACGTAGTAGGCGCTAGCACAAAGCTACTTCGGTAGCACATGAGTCAATAGGGACTGACAGGAAGTTTGAACCCCACTTGCCTGGAGAGACCCAAGACGTCTATCATGGAGGCACACATTTGCAGATCTCTGATAAAATGTGGACAAGTGTTAATGCTGTAGCCATAGACTATCATGCAGGTGCACCTTTGCGGATCTCTGATAAAATGTGGACAAGGAAAAAGCTTACACCCGCAAGCAATAGGGTAGCGTGGTGCAAGAGAAAGAGTCGCTAGAGGTTAATCTAACATAGTTTGGTGACATAATTTACACTCACTGTGCCCTCGAGTTCAGGACAGTCTAGAAGATGCACCTGGCGTCGCGCACTAGAAAAACAAACGGCAAAGTGACATTGAAAAGAGTCGAGCAGACAGTACAAGGTCTGGCTGATCCTGAAAAGCTGACACAGTGCCCTCTGTCGTGCTGAGTTTTTCTGTAAAAACAGACGGAGAACCAAAAAGGAGCAAGAGAAGTTGTTTAGGGATCTGTTCCAGTTTGCCCGAGGCCTGTTCGAGAAGCCAAAGTCTGGGACTCTGGTTGTCGGTAAAGAGAAATTGTAGTCACATGTACTGAAGATGTACTCTGACCGGACAAGGCATGAACCTTTCGATGACAACCCAGAGTTCACCATAGGCCTGAAGTGGCCTGAGTTGCTGAAGGCCAAGTTCAAAACGATGCTACTCTGTTTTTCTGAGGTCGAAGAAGTTGTGGGAGAAGCCAGCGGTAAATCTGCCCCAGGACCCAATGGTGTCCCGTCGCGATGTACAAATGCTGTCCGAAAGTTTTCCTAAAACTAATGTGGAGCCGAAAGTGTATAAAAGGAGTGGCAGCGAGCAAACAGAGTCTAAATTCCCAAGGAACGAGACTCCTCTAATCTAACCCAGTTTAGACCCATCTCGCTGTTGAACGTTAAGGGCAAAATATTCTTCTCGGTTTTATGGCATGCAGAGTCACGCAGTGTTTTATGTAGAACAAATATATTGACACAACGGTGCAAAAAGGTGGCATCCCAGGCGTCTCTGGTTGTTTAGAGCAGGAGACCATGATCTGGGAGTCTAATCGGAGAGCTTAGGTGGAGAGAACCCAGTTGCATATATTATGGTTGGACCTTGCCAATGCCTATGGGGCGGTAGCCCATAAGCTATTATGGTAGGCACTTTGCATGTTCACGTACCGACACAAATCACTGAATTGATCGAGCAATATTTATTAAAGTTTGTCATATGCTTCTCTACACCCACGTTTACTACAAGGTGGACTGAACTCCAAGTTGGGGTAGCAATGGGGTGTACAATTTCGCCAGTATGGTTCGTTATGGCCATGCAAGTTATGTTAGATGGGGGTATCAGTCAGGGTCTTAATATTGGGGATCACTCAATGCCACCACTTGGAGCATTTATGGATGATACGACTATCATCACAGACAGTGAAGATCATGCCCACTATATTCTGAAAAGGTTGTATTGCATGGTGAAATGGTGTGGCATGTAATTCAAGCCTTAGAAGTCCAGAAGTCTATCTATAAATGTAAGGTTGTGGCAACCAGTTTCACAATGGCAAGAAAAAAGCTCCCTACGGTTCTGGAGGAACCAGTAAAGAACCTCAGCCACGTCTACGATTTAAAGTTATCTGATAGGATCGAAGTCCGGCGTATACATCACTGGAAACACTCCTGCTAGCTATTGAATAATGCAGGCTGATCCGGAAGTTCAAGGTTTAGTGATTCGGGTCCAAAAAGCTATACAGCATTCACAGCATGGCCAGTGGATCAGCCATGAGAGCGCCTTGCCACAAATGCATAGGGTGAGATCTGGGGAATGGCCCCGCTGCAGCTGAGCTTTGTTATAAGATCTTCTTAGAATGTGTTACCTTCTGGTGCCAACTTGGCCAAGTGGCGTGCCGACCATCAACCCAGAATGTCCCCTGTGCAGAACTAAGCAGACGCTCAAGCACATATTGTCCATGTACAGAGGAGGCCTAGGCCAGGGACGACATACATGTCGCCACAATAAAGTCCTGAAAGAGCTGGCAGACATTTTGGATTAAGCCAGGATGTGGGGAAACACGAGGGCCAGTCCTAATGCCCCCCCCCCCCCCCTCTCCCCTTACCTGCGCTTCCTCAAGGCTGGGCAGATTTTCAAAGGTAAACTCAACAAAGTTGCATATGCTCTATCCTTGCGTGACTGTGTGCGGGACTAGTTACTGGCGGTCGACCTGCCTGGTTTCTAGAAATACCCTGAAACAATCCAAAGGACTGGCCTGAGACCAGACATGGTTCTGCACTCTGTGGCAGAAAGCTAGCTCATTCTGATAGAAGCATGTTGTACAAGTCTTGCATCGAAGAAAATCATCTTTACAAGCTTGAAAAATAATGAAATCTGGTGGCTAGACTGAGAAGCGATGAGGCGTACACAGTAAAACTCTTTTCCGTCGAGGTAGACGCAAGAGGGTTAAACTTTACCTCCACATGCAATATACTAAAGCACCTGGGATTGTCAGAAAAGAAACAGAAATTGGCACTAAAATAACTGGGTGGAGTGGCTGATATGGCTTCAAGTTGGCTGCAGACACAAGGGAACATTGTGGGGAATGGGCCTTGGTAAACTAGTCCTATCCCCTAGTGGAAAAGAACTTAACATCCCTAAAAGCAAAAGTGTCCCATTAACGTCTGTCAGTGTCTCTCTGCCAGTTGCCAAAGTCTAACATCTGTCCAGTAAACCAACCATTCACTTGTCACTCTGATTGTTAAGGTAGACGGCTAATTTGCTATGGCAGCGACAATATGTAACACCAAACCTCATAATACCTGTTGCAAAGTCACCATTTAGTCTTGTCTGAATGTCCGTTGAGCACAGGAGAAGGCCCGTGCCCAGGTCAGCCCACTCTCTGACATTTTCTAGGAGGATAATGGGCGGAAACAATTGTCAACGAGGGAGCCACTGACTGCTGAACGGTAGATTCGTGCTGCTGTGCATGCTCCCGCCTTAGAGTTCTCATTGTTCTGGGTATATGTAACATTTGTTGTATTCACTGTCTGGATAAATGTAATATTTGTTGTATTTACTGTCTGGATATATGTAACATTTGTTGTATTCACTGTCTGGATATATGTAAAATTTGTTGTATTCACTGTCTGGATATATGTAACATTTGTTGTATTCACTGTCTGGATATATGTAATATTTGTTGTATTCACTGTCTGGATATATGTAAAATTTGTTGTATTCACTGTCTGGATATATCTAACATTTGTTGTATTCACTGTCTGGATATATGTAACATTTGTTGTATTCACTGTCTGGGTATATGTAACATTTGTTGTATTCACTGTCTGGATAAATGTAATATTTGTTGTATTCACTGTCTGGATATATGTAAAATTTGTTGTATTCACTGTCTGGATATATCTAACATTTGTTGTATTCACTGTCTGGATATATGTAACATTTGTTGTATTCACTGTCTGGATATATGTAACATTTGTTGTATTCACTGTCTGGGTATATGTAATATTTGTTGTATTCACTGTCTGGGTATATGTAATATTTGTTGTATTCACTGTCTGGATATATGTAATATTTGTTGTATTCACTGTCTGGGTATATGTAATATTTGTTGTATTCACTGTCTGGGTATATGTAATATTTGTTGTATTCACTGTCTGGGTATATGTAATATTTGTTGTATTCACTGTCTGGGTATATGTAATATTTGTTGTATTCACTGTCTGGATATATGTAATATTTGTTGTATTCACTGTCTGGGTATATGTAATATTTGTTGTATTCACTGTCTGGGTATATGTAATATTTGTTGTATTCACTGTCTGGATATATGTAATATTTGTTGTATTCACTGTCTGGATGTATGTAACATTTGTTGTATTCACTGTCTGGGTATATGTAATATTTGTTGTATTCACTGTCTGGATATATGTAATATTTGTTGTATTCACTGTCTGGATATATGTAATATTTGTTGTATTCACTGTCTGGGTATATGTAATATTTGTTGTATTCACTGTCTGGATATATGTAATATTTGTTGTATTCACTGTCTGGATATATGTAATATTTGTTGTATTCACTGTCTGGGTATATGTAATATTTGTTGTATTCACTGTCTGGATATATGTAACATTTGTTGTATTCACTGTCTGGGTATATGTAATATTTGTTGTATTCACTGTCTGGGTATATGTAATATTTGTTGTATTCACTGTCTGGATATATGTAATATTTGTTGTATTCACTGTCTGGATATATGTAATATTTGTTGTATTCACTGTCTGGGTATATGTAATATTTGTTGTATTCACTGTCTGGATATATGTAATGTTTGTTGTATTCACTGTCTGGATATATGTAACATTTGTTGTATTCACTGTCTGGGTATATGTAACATTTGTTGTATTCACTGTCTGGATGTATGTAATATTTGTTGTATTCACTGTCTGGATATATCTAACATTTGTTGTATTCACTGTCTGGATATATCTAACATTTGTTGTATTCACTGTCTGGATATATGTAACATTTGTTGTATTCACTGTCTGGGTATATGTAATATTTGTTGTATTCACTGTCTGGGTATATGTAATATTTGTTGTATTCACTGTCTGGGTATATGTAATATTTGTTGTATTCACTGTCTGGATATATGTAATATTTGTTGTATTCACTGTCTGGGTATATGTAATATTTGTTGTATTCACTGTCTGGGTATATGTAATATTTGTTGTATTCACTGTCTGGGTATATGTAATATTTGTTGTATTCACTGTCTGGGTATATGTAATATTTGTTGTATTCACTGTCTGGGTATATGTAATATTTGTTGTATTCACTGTCTGGGTATATGTAATATTTGTTGTATTCACTGTCTGGATATATGTAATATTTGTTGTATTCACTGTCTGGATATATGTAATATTTGTTGTATTCACTGTCTGGGTATATGTAATATTTGTTGTATTCACTGTCTGGGTATATGTAATATTTTGTTGTATTCACTGTCTGGATATATGTAATATTTGTTGTATTCACTGTCTGGGTATATGTAATATTTGTTGTATTCACTGTCTGGGTATATGTAATATTTGTTGTATTCACTGTCTGGGTATATGTAATATTTGTTGTATTCACTGTCTGGGTATATGTAATATTTGTTGTATTCACTGTCTGGGTATATGTAATATTTGTTGTATTCACTGTCTGGGTATATGTAATATTTGTTGTATTCATTGTCTGGATATATGTAATATTTGTTGTATTCACTGTCTGCATATATGTAATGTTTGTTGTATTCACTGTCTGGATGTTTGTTATATTTGTTGTATTCACTGTCTGGATGTTTGTTATATTTGTTGTATTCACTGTCTGGATGTTTGTTATATTTGTTGTATTCACTGTCTGGATGTTTGTTATATTTGTTGTATTCACTGTCTGGATGTTTGTTATATTTGTTGTATTCACTGTCTGAATATATGTAATATTGGTTGTAATCACTGTCTGGATAAATGTTATATTTGTGCTACCCAGTGTCTGGATAAATGTTATATTTGTGCTACCCAGTGTCTGGATAAATGTTATATTTGCTGTACTCACTGCCCAATAAACTGATGTCTTGTATTATCTATTGTCCAGGATCCCGCTAACAAACAGTTCATGATCTGTGACTCACAGATGGAAGGTCTCTTTGGTATGTGTCCTTCACTTTCTTTATATCTTAAGATATATTTTGGTAGAGTTTGGGCTTTGATGGATATCAAAGATTTGTTTTATTCATCAGAAGGAATTTATGCCAATCCAGCAAAGGTTTCTGCAACATGGTCCTCTCTGAATAACCATATTGTCAACACCCTGGCTTGAGAATCAGCTGCACACACTGTAACTGACTCACAGAGAAAGGTGGAGACAGGTATGCTGTGTGCAGAGTGGCAAGCATCGCCTCAGATGTCCCAGATGCACTTGGATATTTTCTCAGGGTGTTGCAGGTGTTTTAGGGAAATGAGCAAGTAGACAGAGTGGCCGGTTCTGCACCACTTGGTGGTGAATTGATGTATGACAAGCTAGATATTGTGAGTGCCCTTTGGGAACAAGTGAACAGTGTGGAGGCTCATATAGATCATTAAGGTCTGGAGAGAAGGGAGCTGCGAGGAGTTACCAGGGGATCTGGCTGACGCTTAACACGCTCAAGAAAAATGCAAGATGAATATACAATCAGACAGTTACTGGTGACATCAGAATTGGAACTGTTGTCTTGCTGAAGTGGAGTGCTTAAGGAAGTTTCCCAGTTGCTATCATGTGGATTCTTCATTCAACATTCTACAACATTCAGCATTGTCAACACCCCAGTGTTAGCACCCCAGTGTCAACAGCCCAGTGTTAGCACCCCAGTGTCAACAGCCCAGTGTCAACAGCCCAGTGTCAACTATAAGTTTATGTTCAGAGATTGTGGAAAGGATGCAGGCAACAAAATACCTGGGGATACGATTTCAACAAAACCTTGTTTTTATTGAGCACATAGACCAGGTGATAATGAAAGCAAAGCAGGGTAGAGTTTCTGTGACAAACTGAACATCATGATTGATGTTTTAAATACCATGGTCTAATTCTTTCTGTTTTTGAGTATGTGCTGGCGATTCTAACTCGTGGTCGTAAGCTGATGGGAAGTATACAGAATAAGACAGTGCACTATCTTAATGACCAGTGCAGTAACAGACCAGAAGACGTACCTTCACTGAGGCAGCATTTCTTCTCTGTGACTCAGTGTGTACACTCAGGAAGATAGAGATGATTGAAGCTCAAAGAGTTGGTGAAGCAGTCACGGAAGACAAAGATCAGTTTCATATTTGAAATGTGTTTTGTATTGGCCAGGTAGACACAGCTGTTGAATGATGTCCCTTTGAGATGTGTTTGGTATTGGCCTGGTAGACACAGCTGTTGAATGATGTCACTTTGAGATGTGTTTGGTATTGGCCAGGTAGACACAGCTGTAGAATATAGTCCCTTTGAGATGTTTTTTTTTTTTTAGTGCCAGGTAGACAAAACTGTTGAATGATGTCCCTTTGAGATGTGTTTGGTATTGGCCAGGTAGACAAAGCTGTTGAATGATGTCACTTTGAGATGTGTTTAGCATGTGATGCTAGTTCCATATTGTGTCTGACACCAGTATCACATCAACTGACTTGACTTCACAAAACATATACAGGTACCCGTCTTAGGCTGGGTTTACCTGGGACTGGGTAAGATCAGCTCTCACAGAATGCTACTTTGAAGAGGGTCATTAGAGGCAGGCTAGTCAGGATCATTAGAGGCAGGCTAGTCAGGATCATTAGAGGCAGGCTAGTCAGCATCATTAGAGGCAGGCTAGTCAGCATCATTAGAGGCAGGCTAGTCAGCATCATTAGAGGCAGGCTAGTCAGGATCATTAGAGGCAGGCTAGACAGGGTCATTAGAAAGTCTGGTTATTTAGTGGACAAGCTGGCAGGATAGGTTTAATTAGGTGTGTGGTGGTGAGATGACACCAGCAGTTGGTGGAAGTTGTGTGGTGGTGAGATGACACCAGCAGTTGGTGGAAGTTGTGTGGTGGTGAGATGACACCAGCAGTTGGTGGAAGTTGTGTGGTGGTGAGATGACGCCAGCAGTTGATGGAAGTTGTGTGGTGGTGAGATGACACCAGCAGTTGGTGGAAGTTGTGTGGTGGTGAGATGACACCAGCAGTTGGTGGAGGTTGTGTGGTGGTGAGATGACGCCAGCAGTTGATGGAAGTTGTGTGGTGGTGAGATGACACCAGCAGTTGGTGGAAGTTGTGTGGTGGTGAGATGACACCAGCAGTTGGTGGAAGTTGTGTGGTGGTGAGATGACACCAGCAGTTGGTGGAAGTTGTGTGGTGGTGAGATGACGCCAGCAGTTGATGGAAGTTGTGTGGTGGTGAGATGACACCAGCAGTTGGTAGAAGTTGTGTGGTGGTGAGATGACACCAGCAGTTGGTGGAAGTTGTGTGGTGGTGAGATGACACCAGCAGTTGGTGGAAGTTGTGTGGTGGTGAGATGACACCAGCAGTTGGTGGAAGTTGTGTGGTGGTGAGATGACACCAGCAGTTGGTGGAAGTTGTGTGGTGGTGAGATGACACCAGCAGTTGGTGGAAGTTGTGTGGTGGTGAGATGACACCAGCAGTTGGTGGAAGTTGTGTGGTGGTGAGATGACACCAGCAGTTGGTGGAAGTTGTGTGGTGGTGAGATGACACCAGCAGTTGGTGGAAGTTGTGTGGTGGTGAGATGACACCAGCAGTTGGTGGAAGTTGTGTGGTGGTGAGATGACACCAGCAGTTGGTGGAAGTTGTGTGGTGGTGAGATGACACCAGCAGTTGGTGGAAGTTGTGTGGTGGTGAGATGACACCAGCAGTTGGTGGAAGTTGTGTGGTGGTGAGATGACACCAGCAGTTGGTGGAAGTTGTGTGGTGGTGAGATGACACCAACAGTTGGTGGAAGTTGTGTGGTGGTGAGATGACACCAGCAGTTGGTGGAAGTTGTGTGGTGGTGAGATGACACCAGCAGTTGGTGGAAGTTGTGTGGTGGTGAGATGACACCAACAGTTGGTGGAAGTTGTGTGGTGGTGAGATGACACCAGCAGTTGGTGGAAGTTGTGTGGTGGTGAGATGACACCAACAGTTGGTGGAAGTTGTGTGGTGGTGAGATGACACCAACAGTTGGTGGAAGTTGTGTGGTGGTGAGATGACACCAACAGTTGGTGGAAGTTGTGTGGTGGTGAGATGACACCAACAGTTGGTGGAAGTTGTGTGGTGGTGAGATGACACCAGCAGTTGGTAGAAGTTGTGTGGTGGTGAGATGACACCAGCAGTTGGTGGAAGTTGGGTCAGGAGACATCATTTTTAATGACAAGATTATCTTTTGAAGGGGGGGGGGGGATGGTCATCTGGGACCACATGTTGAAACAGTACAGAGGTTATTAACAGTAGTGCAGGTAGGTTGACAATTGTGTAAGAGTTAACATTCAGCAGTAATAGACTCATGCAGGTATTTTCATGCATGTGTGAGAGTTAACATCTAGAAGTAATAGACTCATGCAAGTATGTTGATGCTTGTCTGAGAGTTAACATCGGGTTGTAACAACACGTGGAAGTATGTTGATGCTTGTCTGAGAGTTAACATCGGGTTGTAACAACACATGGAAGTATGTTGATGCTTGTCTGAGAGTTAACACAGGTTGATCATTTCTTGGCAGGTGTGAAGCGGGTCAAGCTGTTTGGCATGATGAAATACTTGAAGAAGCACATCACTGACCTGCCCCGCTAGCTGTAGCAGCCAATCATCTCCTGGTCTGTCTGTGTGTGGCAGTGACTGTCCTTGATAGATGGTTACAGACATTTGTCTACTTGACCATGCTGTTGTCAGATTGTAGGGGCTATTTCAGTCAAATGTGTACAGTTTGTTCTTGAGCATGTTTGGGCATGAATGTAAATAAAGTTGATCTGACGGAGACACTGTTGACTTTGCCATCTTTTGTTTGAGAGAGACATGGTAACAGAATTTCTCTATTCCCCTACAGTAGGATTTCAGACCTAGGTTTTATCTGAGTGTTGCCCTGTATTGAAATGTATCTTAATCTGGACCTCATGTATCCGTCATCTGCTTGTTTCACCTTTTTTTTAATTTAAAGTGTCATTATGCAAAATGACTGGTTTTTCTTGGTCTCTGAGTCCTTGGAATAACGTCCCACTTTCATTGAGTTGATACTGAGTTTGAACCTGGCTTTGTGATATCGTCTGAGACTTAGTGCCTTGTGTGTGCAGACATATGACTGTCTGTCTTTCCTTGAGTTGTATGGGTTTGCCACTTCCTCCATCACATGTTGACATCTAGTGCTGGCTGTGTCATAGGTGCAATATCTGTTGTTGATGCCAACGTGACATCTCTGCTTCACATGTGCAGACTGTTGATTGCTCTGGCAATGTTTTATTTCTAGTCTCTGCTGCACTAGAAGGTGACCTCTATAAGACAAGGTTTTGTCTAGTCACTGCTGCACTAGAAGGTGACCTCTATAAGACAAGGTTTTGTCTAGTCACTGCTGCACTAGAAGGTGACCTCTATAAGACAAGGTTTTGTCTAGTCACTGCTACACTAGAAGGTGACCTCTATAAGACAAGGTTTTGTCTAGTCACTGCTGCACTAGAAGGTGACTTCTACAAGACAAGGTTTTGTCTAGTCACTGCTGCACTAGAAGGTGACTTCTACAAGACAAGGTTTTGTCTAGTCACTACTGCACTAGAAGGTGACTTCTATAAGACAAGGTTTTGTCTAGTCACTGCTGCACTAGAAGGTGACTTGTACCATTCAGATAATGTTGACTGGGAATAACTTCAGCAGAAGGTGACTTGAACAAGACAGATAATTTTGTCTAGACACGGCTGCACTAGACGGTGACTTGAACAAGACAGATAATTTTGTCTAGACACGGCTGCACTAGACGGTGACTTGAACAAGACAGATAATTTTGTCTAGACACGGCTGCACGACGGTGACTTGTGTGTGTTTACAGGACAAGGACAGGTTGCATTTTTTTATTTCATTTTCATTTGGTTGTGTTCTTGTTTTATTTATTTTGAACAGTGTTTTATTATCGCCTGTTGAAGTATGTTGTTTTAAAAGATAGTTTGTGCTGTCCTCTGTTGCAAGTGATATGATAACAGTTCATATCTTACTCTGAGGCAAGTGATAGCAATTCATACCTTACTCTGAAATGAGGGACAACAGTTCTTGCCTTACTCTGAGACAAGGGACAGTTTGTATCTTACTCTCTAGTGACAGCAGTTCTTGCCTTACTCTGAAGCATGTGATGCACCTTTCATTGGCCAAGTACTGCCCAGTTTTGAAGACTTTCTAAACTCATCCTGTCCCATCAAAATCCTCAGGTGAAACTCTCAGTCATTGTTGTAACTTTAGTATGAGAACTATTTCTCATGACGTTTTGACTACAGAATGTGTGAGAACTATTGCTCTGAAAGCAGTTTTTATGTCTACAGATTATGTAAGAACAATTGCTGCATAAGTTGTCTTTTCTGACTTGAGAATGTGTGAGAAATATTGCTCTAAAAGTTCTGTTTTCTGACTTGAGAATGTGTGAGAAATATGGCTCTAAAAGTTCTGTTTTCTGACTTAAGAATGTGTGAGAAATATGGCTCTAAAAGTTCTGTTTTCTGACTTGAGAATGTGTGAGAAATATTGCTCCTTTAATTTCTGTTTTTGGACAAGAATAAATGAGAAATATTGCTCTGGAAGTTCTGTTTTCTGACTTGAGAATGTGTGAGAAATACTGCTATGGAAATTCTGTTTTCTGACAAAAGAATGTGTGAAAAATGTTGTGGAGTTTTGAATGTTCTATTTTGGGAACACATTAGGGACAAGGTCAGCTGCATCTTGCAGACCTGTGTTGATTTCTTTGTTGCAGCCAGCTACCAATCAAACCTGAGTGACCACTTCATGACTGGACACACCATCAGATTCAAATAGAGTTCAGTTCATGGTTTCACTTATATGCTGAGTTACTGTATTCTTTCCTTGTTTAATATGTGGTATTTTGTGTTTTAACTTTAGTCACATCACATGATGATCACTAGACTTAAGACCCAGCACATGATGGTCACTAGACACTGCACATGATGGTCACTAGATTGTTGACACAGCACATGATGGTCACTGGACTGTTGACACAGCACATGAGGGTCACTAGATTGTTGACACATCACATGATGGTCACTAGACTGTTGACACAGCACATGATGGTCAGACCTAGCCTTTCACTCAAGATCATGGCATACCACTTCTACGCCAGACCTAGCCTTTCACTCAAGATCATGGCATACCACCTCTACATCAGACCTAGCCTTTCACTCAAGATCATTGGCACACCACCTCTACGCCAGACCTAGCCTTTCACTCAAGATCATGGAATACCACCTCTACGCCAGACCTAGCCTTTCACTCAAGATCATGGCATACCACTTCTACGCCAGACCTAGCCTTTCACTCAAGGTCATGGCATACCACCTCTACGCCAGACCTAGTCTTTCACTCAAGATTATGGCATACCACCTCTACGCCAGACCTAGCCTTTCACTCACCAGACATGGAATGGGATATTACTATAAATGTTGGGAAGCAATAAGGAGGTAGTGACCACCGCCCAGTCTTTCTAACAATAGAAAACCAGTCTGTAAGAAAAAGCAGCACTTTTCATCTTAGTCGAGATTTCAACACCACCGCAATCGGGTTTCCCCGTACTCTACCAAGATGCAATCACAAGAAGGCAGGCTGGAAACTGTATCAGCACCTTACACTTATTTCGGTTAACAATATTAAAAACAGATAACAATGCAGACAACCTTACACTTATTTAGGTTAACAATATAAAAACAGATAACAATGCAGACAACCTTACACTTATTTAGGTTAACAATATAAAAACAGATAACAATTCAGACAACCTTACACTTATTTAGGTTAACAATATAAAAACAGATAACAATGCAGACAACCTTACACTTATTTAGGTTAACAATATTAAAAACAGATAACAATGCAGACAACCTTACACTTATTTAGGTTAACAATATAAAAACAGATAACAATGCAGACAACCTTACACTTATTTAGGTTAACAATATAAAAACAGATAACAATGCAGACAACCGTACACTTATTTCGGTTAACAATATAAAAACAGATAACAATTCAGACAACCTTACACTTATTTAGGTTAACAATATAAAAACAGATAACAATGCAGACAACCTTACACTTTTTTCGGTTAACAATATAAAAACAGATAACAATGCAGACAACCGTACACTTATTTCGGTTAACAATATAAAAACAGATAACAATGCAGACAACCTTACACTTATTTCGGTAAACATAAAAACAGATAACAATGCAGACAACCTTACACTTATTTTGGTTAACAATATAAAACAGATAACAATGGCGACAACCTTACACTTATTTCGGTTAACAATATAAAAACAGATAACAATGCAGACAACCTTACACTTTTTTCGGTTAACAATATAAAAACAGATAACAATACAGACAACCTTACACTTTTTTCGGTTAACAATATAAAAACAGATAACAATGCAGACAACCTTACACTTATTTTGGTTAACAATATAAAACAGATAACAATGGCGACAACCTTACACTTATTTCGGTTAACAATATAAAAACAGATAACAATGCAGACAACCTTACACTTTTTTCGGTTAACAATATAAAAACAGATAACAATACAGACAACCTTACACTTTTTTCGGTTAACAATATAAAAACAGATAACAATGCAGACAACCTTACACTTATTTCGGTTAACAATATAAAAACAGATAACAATGGCGACAACCGTACACTTATTTTCGTTAACAATATGTAGTAGGGTGGAAGCGACGAAGACTACAGTACAGCAGATTAAAGATCTTAGATTTATTCTGGTTTTAAAATGGTTGAAAGGCCACCGGAACTAACTAATAGAGTGACCGGAAGATGGAGAAAAATCAGCCCACGGGGTATTTAAACGGCCGACTGACAAAGTTTCAAGCCTGTTTTGACTTCCGGACCAACCTGTGGAAGCCGAACCTAGCAGACTGATGCTTTGCACAATGGGCGGGTCTATAGGTATGGCGACCACAGGTAACGTTCGTGGTCGGACTGATGGCAGTCGAGGGTACGTTCAGTGGTTAGTTGGTTAAAATAGATTTTCATTTGTATTCTAGACAAGAAATAGTTAGATGGTAAATTGCTGTATATTTGAGGTTTTGTTCCACCACGTGGTCGTTTATGTCGTTACTTTTGGCCATGCTGATGTGAAGTTAAATAAAAATTATGTTCAACGTTGTATTCATTGTTACAGTTGTTTTCTTCAGCTTAGGACTTCTAGATAGTGTGCCTAGTTTACTAGTTTAGTTTAGTCGTTACCTGGACTATATTAGACTTTACACAGAAGATTTATTGTCTGGACTAGAATATTCTTGTTTCTAGTCCCCACCTAACGATTTTCCTCTTTTTTTTTATCTTAGTACCATGGGCTTTCTCCGCCCTAGAACAAATGGCGTCGTCTGGCAAGGATATCGGTGGCAATTAGATATTTTGTGTCTAGCCTAGTTAGTTAAGGTGATAATAGTAGTTCATAGTTTAGATTGATTTTTAAATAGCGCCCAACTTGTGGGGCTTCTATATTGCAGTCTTTTTGATATTTGTTTTGTTAGATGTGACAGGATTTAATTCACAAAGGAGTTCTAGTT